TCTCAAAAAAAGAAAAAATCGCTATTAGGATACTTCAGCTACTTCTGTCGAAATCTTCATGATTCATAAAAACACTTGGCCAACCAGGCGCAGTGGCACATGCCTGTAATCCCAGCACTTTGGGAGGCTGAGGCTGGAAGATCCCCTGAGGTCAGGAGTTCAAGACCAGCCTGACCAACATGGCGAAACCCCGTCTCTAACAAAAATACAAAACGTAGCTGGGCGTGGTGGTGGGCACCTGTAAGCCCAGCTACTCGGGAGGCTGAGGCAGGAGAATTGCTTGAACCCGGGAGGCAGAGGTTGCAGTGAGCCAAGATCACACCATTGCTCTCCAGCCTGAGAGACAAACAAGACTCCATCTAAAAAACAAAAAACAAAACAAAACAAAACAAAACAAAACGCTTGACCTACAGTGTCTTTCCTAATCAGCATTTATATCCCAAAGCCCTTCTTCACTCTTCAGGAGTCCATTTCTATACACACCAACTGAAGCCAATACTTAGGAGCCAATATTCTTAGGAATGTTCTGCCAATTATGCCAGTGGATTTGGATCTGGATTTAAGATGAGCAAATAAGTGTTTAAAAATCAGATTTTATAAGCCAGCCATGTTTGGGGGAGAGAGCAGTAATTACTCATTCTAGAACAGAAGGCTTCATTTTATGAAAGCATTTGCCTGAAGATATCTTACGAAATTTACATATGCAAATATATATTTTCAAAAAACGAGATTACCTTTTTTTTTTCTTTAGAAACATCCACACTGATATGGTTTGGATTTGTGTCCCCGCCCAAATCTCACGTCAAATTTTAATCCCCCATGTTGGAGGAGAGGCCTGGTGGTGATTGGATGATGGGGGCAGATTCCCCCTTGCTGGTCTCATGATAGTGAGTTCTCAACAGACCTGGTTGTTTAAAAATGTGTCACCTCCCCCTTCTCTCTCTTCCTCCTGCTCTAGCCATGTAAGACATGCCTGCTTCCTCTCCACCTTCTGCCATGATTATAAGCTTCCTGAGGCCTCCCAGACATGCTTCCTGTACAGCCTGCCAACCTATGAGTCAATTAAACCTCTTTTCTTTATAAATTACCCAGTCTCAGGTAGTTCTTTATAGCAATGCTAGAACAGACTAATACATTCACCAAACTAATAATTATGGCTATTCTCTGTATATGGGAATTGTTTTAGTATTGTCTCTTCTTCTTACAATAAGTACACATTACTTTTATTATAATGGAAAAAATATTCTAAAGTTCCTCTAGTGCAAATTTTAAATACTTGAATTCTAAAGCTAGGATTCACCTTCTGTTTGAATGAAAATGCCTCATGTATGCCTTTTCAGTAAGCATCTACTGAGCATCTATGGAGTGCCTGGTGGTGTACTAAGAGAACCCCAAAGAAAAATTCCTGTTCCTGGAGAATCTAAACCCTATCAGCATGGTTCACAGGCATCTTTACAATAAATAGCCAATACATGATAGACCTTCAATAAACACTTGTTTAATGAATATATGCATGTACCATCATAGGATTTATTTTTCAAACTCTTGTTTTATAGAGGATTAGCCACATTCAGTTCACTTATCACACACACATCATACTTCATCACTTCTAAGATGCAGATTGTCCACATTTCAACTCTAAAATCAGAATGAAGCTTACTGTCAATGTGATTTTTTTAAAGTATTATATTAGACAATTTGCAGCATTTTCTCTTTCATAATGGTAAATGATATGGTTTGGCTGTGTCCCCACCCAAATCTCATCTTGAATTGTAACTCCCATAATTCCCATGTGTTGTGGGAGGAACCAGATGGGAGGTGATTGGATTATGGCAGTGGGTCTTTTCTGTGCTGTTCTGGTGATAGTGAAACAGTCTCACAAGATCTGATGGTTTTAAAAATGGGAGTTTCCCTGCACAAGCTCCCTCTCCTTGCCTGCCGCCATCCATGTAAGAAGTGACCTGCTCCTCCTTGCCTTCCACCATGATTGTGAGGCCTCCCCAGCCACGTGGAGCTGTAAGTCCATTAAACCTCTTTTTCTTCCCAGTCTTGAGTATGCCTTTATCAGCAGTGTGAAAACAGACTAATATAGTAAATAAAATAACAATATGTCTTATCGTGACAGCATCTTAGATGGAATGAAATACAATATATATTCTATTTTATAAATACTTTAGAAAATACATGTGAATTGTTGGGCATGCACCCCCCTGAGGTTCAACTGGGAAACGTTTTCATAGGACCACTCCATTCCATGAACTTTCAAGCCCCCAGTGATCATTTGAAATCCACAACTAGTAATTTATATAAATGTTAAAATCAACAGCACACAAGTAGCAAGTTTATAAAAATGTGTGCATTTATGAGAGTTTACTTCTCAAATTTTTCAAATTATTATTGAACGTTAAACACATATTTCTCATATTGAACTTTAATAAGGCATAAGGGTATATAAACATTATGTACATTTCTAAGCACTCATGTACTTAAAAGACTTTTGTATTTTAATGTTTGAAGTTAATCAAAGGTTTAAAGTTTCTAAGAAACATGAAAATGACTAAACGGTGTAAGAACTGCAAAGTTATAAAAGAAAAACCATTAAAATCTTATTGGAGAGATGAAATTAACTATGAGAAAAATGAAATTTTGTGACAAAGACAGGCAGAGAACATTACAAGAAAGAGAACAATTTAAAATCTTTTTAGTGGGGTGTGGTGGCAAGTGCCTATGGTCCTAGCCACTCCAGAGGCTGAAGTAGGAGGATTGCTGGAGCCCAGGCAGTCAAGGCTGCAGTGAGCTGAGAGCATGCCACTGCACTCCTGCATGGGCAATAGAGCAAGACCCCATCTCAAAAGAAAATTTTTAAAAAGGACAAAACATCACCAAACTAATAAAATGTGAATCGTCTGTAAAGTATAATGTATACTAACTACATAATAAAGGAATATCTCTGAGCAGTGCAATGTAAAATATTGGGCACATGCATTAAAAACATTAAATAAATACAAAAACATTTTAAAATAATAATTGACATCCAGGCAATAATTATTGTGGTGGCTTGTGCTCATAATCCAGGCACTTTGGGAGGCCAAGGCGGGAGGGTTGTTTCAGCCCAGGAGTTTGAGACCAGGCTGACCAACATGGCAAGACCCTGTCTTATCAAAATAAAAAAAAAAATTCCAGCTTGGCCAACATGGCAAAACCTCGTCTCTACTAAAAATACCAAAATTAGCCAGGCATGGTGGCATGCACCTGTAATCCCAGCTACTCAGGTGGCTTAGGCACAAGAATTGCTTGAATCTGGGAGGCAGAGATTGCAGTGACCCCTGATCACGCTACTGCACTCCAGCCTGGGTGACAGAGCAAGAGTCTGTCTCAAAAAAACTTAAAAAAAAATTTTTTTTTTAATAATTATTGACATCCAACCTGGGCAACACAGTGAGACTTCATCTCTACAAAAATAATTTTTTAATTATCCAGGTGTGGTGGCGAGTACCTGTAGTCCTACATACTTGGGAGGCCGAGGCAGGAGGATTGCTTGAGCTGAGAAGTTCAAGGCCACAGTGAGCTATGATTGCATTGCTACACTCCAGCCTGGGAGACAAAGCAAGATGCTGTATGCTGTTTTAAACAAATAGTTTAGTTTGGTTTTTGTTTGTTTTTTAGAACAAAGTTCATTGCTCTGTCGCCAGGCTGCAAACCTCTGCCTCTCAGATTCAGCCTGATTCCCCTGCTCAGCCTCCCGAGTAGCTGGGACTACAGGCATGCAGCACCACACCACCCAATTTTTTTGTAGTTTAGTAGAGATGGTGTTTTCACTATGTTGGCTCAGGATTGTCTAGATCTCCTGACCTCATGATCCACCTGTCTTGGCCTCCAAAGTGCTGGGAGTATAAGCCGTGAACCACCATGACCAGTCAACAAATAAAATTTTTAAAAAATAAAATTATTGACATCTAGAGTTCAGGACTGTACACGCGAGAAGAAATCATAATGGAGGCCATCCAG